TCTTTTGGGCTTTCCGACGTTACAGGACGGCCCAAGAGGCGCCCAAGACCGCCCCAAGACGGCCCAAGAAGCTTCCAAGAGGGCCCCAGGACAGCCCAAGAGGGCCCCAAGACGGCCCAAGAGGCGCCCAAGATGGCCCAAGAGGGCCCCAAGACGGGCCCAAGAGGGGGCCCAGAGGGGGACCACGAACCGCAAGCTCGAGCCTTCCGCCCCAAGAGGCCGCCAGGAGGCCCCCAGGAGGCCCCTCAAGAGGCCCCAGGAGACCCCCAAGAGGCCCAAAGGAGGCCCCGAGAAGCCCCAAATCGGCCCCCACAATGCTTCGAACCTGCTTCCAGGAGGCCCCCGACAGGTTCAGAGGCTCCCAAGAAGCTACGTCAAACTCCCAGCGAGCGGCCGGACGAGGCCCCCCAAAAAATCCCAAGAGGGTTCCAGTATTTGTATCCTTCAGCGCTCTCTGGCCTTCTTCCCCCTGCCCCCTTCCCTGCGACTTTCGTTGACTCAAGCTCGCCTCCTCTCCATTTCCTCTCTCTGCCTCTCTCTCTCTCTGTCTTCTTCTCTCTCTCTCTCTCTCCATCTCTCTCTCTCTCTCTTCGCTCTCTGTCTGTCTGTCTCTCTCTCTCTCTCTCCCTCTCTTTCTCTCTCTTTCTCTTTCTTCCTTTCAGATTCCGTGTCCTTGCGACCTTCTGCAGTCCCCGACGTCGCCACGGCTGGATCCGCTCGAGCGTGTCTTGTGATGTGCGGCGGTGCGAAGCCCGTCCCACTGATCAAGGCACAGGTACGAAATGATGGGTCCATCATTTCTTGCCTTCCCATGTGCGTTTTCCCAATCGATTCCTGGGCCCGAGGTCGCAAAAATTACGACGTCGGAGGTCTGGGGAGGCGGGAAGCACGACCTGGACCTCCGACGTCTTGGAAAAATCACGACGGCGGTTTCGGTCAATTTTCGGCCTCCGGGGCCCCTCGCAGGGTCCCGGGACCGTCAGAAAACGACTCAGGATGAAAAAAGAACACATCCCCAGGAAGTCGTCGAGAGGTCCAGGGGCCGCGCACAGAAAGCATCACGACATCGGACGTCCAGAGAGGAGGTAGGAACACGAGGAGGAGGGAGCCCAGACCTCCTGGCGACGCAACACCAAAGACAACAAAAGCTTCCCCGAGACTTCCCCCAGATATTCTAACTACAGAAACTCCTTTCGTATTCCGGCCAGAAGCATCCAGAAACGATGTACATTAGCCCTGGCGGGGGGAATGATGGCGATGGTGATGTTCATGATGACGACGGTGACGATCCTAGCTAGAACCTAAGCGCGCGCGAAGCGCGCGCGTGGTTCTAGTATAATATATCACGCGCGCGCGGCGATCCCGGCAAGGCCGAAGCGGGGGTTCGATTGGGGAGCGCTTGATACACCGATATGCGAGGTCACCCTCAAATCGTTCAACTGCGCCCATCAGAGCCTCCCCCGCGTTTTCCTGCCCGCGCCCCTGCCCCCCGGCGCCCCCGTCGGCATGCGCGCGCGCCCCTGTAGAGAACGCACCTTTTGACGTTGCTAGTGTTCCTGATGTCGAACGCGCGCTGGTAGGTTTTCAAACATCGCGACGTTCCGCCCGGTCTGGCACCAAAATGGCACGCGGAAATTTGGCACGCGGCGGGGGGCAAGGGGCCGGCGGCGCAGGGCGAGGTGCGCAGACAAAAGTTAATAGATGTTTCCGGCAGGAGAAAATACATCGGCAGGTCTGTCAAACACTCGTCCATGCACGCTGGAAGCCCTGACTTGCCAGCGCGACGGTCTGCGACCCACGGGTGGGATATGCCGCGGAAAGCACAGCGGGTGAAAAAAACATGCACGCGCGTCAACACGCTGCAACCCGGGCGCCCATCAACGCCCGCAACATCACGAACGGGCCGCCTGCGTTCAAGAAGAAGTCCGTCCACGGCACCGGCCAGGCTCCTTGGCGAAAGCGGGCGATTGTTGCGACGATGTCGATGGCCAGCGCGCCCCTCGCGCTTGAGTCCAATCGCGGACAACCCAGTCGGGGGCGAAAGCACAACGACCTGCTCCCCGGCGGTTGCTGGCCGCTGGCCCATCCAAGGCGCGGGCCCCGGGCGCCGCGAGGAGGCCAGCGCCCAGGGCCTAGGGCAGAGGGTATCTCCAGTCCCCACACACACACACTCACACACACACATATATATATATATGTACATATATATATATATATATATATATATATATATATATATATATATTCGGGTGCACCAAATTGCTGACCTCAACGCGCCAGGCTAGGCGTGGTCTGGCCTACGATGAGAACGATCAGTTCAGTATGCAGACCGAGGACAACAGGGAGCTTCCTTGGTTGCTACTTTTCCACTGTGGACATTGCCGAACTCGCCGCGCGCGCGTCCGCGCGCGCGTGGCGACTTCAGGTTTCACTTCAGGGTTCACTTCAGTTTCAGGCGCGCGCCATGCGCGTGGCGCGCGGCGCGCGCGCGTGCTGATCGGTCACCGTTCAGGCTTTACTTTAGCTTCCAGGCCAACATGGAGACTTGTCGTTGACAATGCAGAACTCGCCACGCACGCGTCCGCGCGCGCGTTCGCGCGATCGGGTGACACGCGCGCGAGCGTGTTGACCGAAATCTGATTGGTCAGCGTTGAGGGTTCACTTTGGTTTCCAAGCCAACATGGCGACATCTCTGTTGTGGGCAAGACAAAACCCTCCACGCGCGCGTCCGCGCGCGCGGGCGTAGCCGCCTGAGGCCCAGCCGCTAGCCTAACCGCCGAAGCAAGACCTCGATCGTTGCCGTGGCACCGCCCCGATACCCCTCCTAAAACAAAACATATTAAAAACACAGAAACGAACCATAACAACAACCCTAAACAAACACAGCAACCTTGTAAGAAACCCTAGAAGCCAGAAAAACAGAACACTAAAAACAGTAAAAAAAACAAGCGTGTGCGAAAACAGATGATCACATTCCCAGTGGCCCAGCACAGTCTGACAGGCCAGAGGCGAGGGCAGAGGAGGCTGGTTCGCGGATGTCGGCGTTGTACTCTTCGCGCTCAGTGTGAACTGCGAACTTCTATGTCTAACTTAAGAATCGGGGGCGCGCAAACATGTATTAGCGATCCCTGGATTTGGAGCGCGGTCGCCAAATCCATGGATAGGGGGAGGTGCCCTCCCCAAAACACGGCCGGTGCCGCCTCGCTCGGCGGCGGAAATCCGCGATCTCCCATTGAAACGGGACCCGCCGCTAATCCACGCCCCCTTAATCCATGTTTGCGATCGCCTGAAAGAAGGCTTCAGCAAGGTGCACGATGAAGCCAGGATCGGGACGCCATCGGATCTTCCTCCTGTAGAGGGACAGGCCCGGCAGTGCCCGGACGCACGAGGAGCACAAGAGGAGCCACCATCAAAAGGACCCGAACTGCTCGTCTTAGCGGCAACTCGTAGCAGGACGGATGGCCCGTGTCCTTCCTGCAGGGTCATAAAGATCGCGCTGGCCAGCGCAGATGGCAAAACTCGCCCTTCTACAACTGTTTGACTGTAATCCGCCCCCCCCGCCAAAGCACAGGACGGAGGGCTGGGTGCGCTGGGGAGAGGCATCAGGAAAAGTGGGGTTGGCACATCGATGCCTGAGGCACGTGGGCGGACGAGGCGGGGGCCAGTGAACGTGCTGAAAGAAGAGGAAGAAGAAGAAGAAGAAGAAGAAGAGGGGCCCATGTAAGCTGCGAGATCTCATGGCCTTGGCCATGATATCGATAGCCATCCACGCCAAGTCATCACCGCCCTCTTCGTGGCCTGGCGGCTTTCGGGTCATAACTCTTGCCTCCGACTGCAGTTCGGTTGGATTGTGGCATCCCGGGAAATCTCTGGACAAGGCGCAACTGCTGGAAAGCATCGCGAAACGGGACAACCTCTAAGGACCAACAGAAGCTGCCTCCAAAATCACACAACAACTGCTCTCGGCGAGGCGCAACTGCTGGAGAGCATCCCGAGGCGAGAACGTTCTCTAGAACAACCCTCCAACAACCAACGATGCTCTCTTCAAATGGCCAACAAGTGCGTACTCACATCCCTCGTTGATTACGGCAAGTTCGTGCAATGATGACCCCGTCTTTGGTTTCTGACACCGCGTGGATCGCCCAATTTTTTCCTCCGAGAAGCGAGCATCGACGAGGTATCCTGGTCGAGACGCATCGCTTGGCTCATACTTGCCTGGTCAGTACTTCAAGGGTGCGCGCACAAGGCTTAGCGAAACTCCTCGCTGCCCCTTAGAGTGGAAATAATGAAAAACGGGGCATGCAAATTATAATTTCCGACGGAGACGCGTCAGCCTGGCGCGCACTTATCTGGTCGATTGCTCACGGGTGCGCACGCAAGGCGGAATGAAATAAACGATCGCCTCCGCGGCGAACAGCAAGAAGGCTCCCAAGAGGCTGCCAAGAGGCCCCCAAGATGCTCCTAAGATGCCCCAAAACTGCCCCCCAGAGGTCTCCGAGAGCGCTCCGAAGAGACCCCAGACAGCATCCCTGAGGACTCTGACCCACGTCAGTGTCGTCGTCGTCGTCGCCGCTGCTGTCGCTGTCGTCGTCGTCGCCGTCGTCGTGGTTGTCAACCATTCAGGGTCGGCGGCACTGGCCGTAAGGCCTTCGCTATCAACGATCGGCACTTGCGGGGTCTCGCGCCAAACACAGCACCGCCTCGCGCGCACTGAAGGTGCACGCAAGGTGGAGCGACCAGCTCCTGAAAGAAAAGAGATGCATCAAATTCACTGGGCTGACCGCAGGAGGACGTCACTTGCAAGCCAGCATGGCAGCCTGACACGCCTTGGCGCGAGCGGCACACATATCGGCGCGCCGAAAGATCAATTCCCTTGCTGAACGATCCAACGCCAACAATAAAACTTTAGTCGCTGGTGCAACCAACTGTACCCCGCCGCCGACCGAACAAGTATTCCAACGTGCCGCTCTGGTTCCTGTCCATCTCGTGGAGCCCGTCGATCAACTCTTGCACGTCGTCCCCATGACTTCCGAGTATTCTAGCGTGCCGCTCTGGTTCCGGTCCATCTCATTGAACCCGTCGATCAGCTGTTGCACGTCGTTCGCGTCAACCATGTTGAAATTCAACAACATGTACACTACGTATTCGTACGTTGTAAGGGCGCCGCTGTTGTCAACATCGATCATCCGGAAAGTCTCTTCACTCATGCCAGTCGAAACAGAACTGTTCACATAATTTGAAGTCACTGCCTTCGCGATCTGACCGAGATAATAGCCCATGGAAGCGACTCCCACCATCATCCAGACAGTGGCAAAAAGCCGACCCACCCAGTTACCCGGAACAGAATCACCAAACCCAACAGTGGTTAATGTAATGACAGACATGTAAAAGGCCTCGATCATGGTGCGCGGAGTTCCGCCGAGATCCAGACATCCCTGCGTCTCGCCGAGAGGGAGCACCACGTCGCACGCATCAAAATCATCGCAGGTGCAAAAATCCACAAAGCTGAAAAAGACTGTCCCGACCAAGATCATCGCCAGGAGTCCCAAGAGCGCCTTTACCACGGGAGGGGGCCCGCGTATCGCCCTCGCCGGGGCGGGTGCCTCTTGCGGAAGATCTCCTGAGCCCCCACCCATGGCGGCGACCGACTTCGAGAGGGCCTTTGAGAGCATGCCTTTCTTGGTCTCCTCCGCCCCCTGGGCCAGCATACTGGTCACGTAGTCCATCACGCCCACGCCGGCAATCACGTTCCCCACCAGCACGTAGAACGCCACCATTAGCCGCCTGTCGTTCGAAGCGGGGCACACGTCACCGTAACCGACGGTCGTGATGATCTGGGCCTGCCAATACAAGACGGCGGTCATGCTCTCGGCATCAGACTCTGACGCGCCGGTGAGCCTGTCCTTGCCCACGAACAGCATCCACCCGACGACAAACCAGGCTGCCGTGGTCAGCTTGATCAGCCTCTTCAGGGGAGGCAACTGGAGCGTCTTTTCCTCCTCGGCGGTGAGCTGCGACGTCGACGAGCAGGAGGACTCGCTGTCCGATGCGTGTGTCTGGACCAGCAGCTCCGCCGGGGCGCCCTTCGAGGACATTCGAGGGGGCGATGGGCTGTGCAGGCGCGACGGCGACTTCCCGAAACAGCTCGGGTAAGAAGGACTCGAGACAAAAGGCTTGAGCCAACAGGCTACGGTGCGTGGATCGCCCAAGCTTGAACGATCAACGGCTTCTCGATCACCAGGTCGCTCCATACACCCTGCGAAATGCTTTAGAAATCACGGGTTAAGAAATTGATAGTCTCAGAATTTAAGTAAAAACCCAGAATGCCCATTCAAATCTTAGGATTTACATTGAAACATTAAGAATAATCGAGACTCTGGCCGAAAACTTAGGTTTTCTTAAGCATCGCCTGAGGTGTACTGGCCATTCTCGGCCAATGGTGGCGTTCAGCCCTGAACGCCCGCGCTGGCGTCGCCGCCGCGTCGACGCGGCACGAGCTTGCCGTGGTCCTCTCCGCACAATGCCGCATCGACACGACGCGAGCCCCCTCGAGCGTACACCCTGCGAAATGCTTAAGAAATCATAGGTTAAGAAACTCACAGTCTCAGAACTTGGATGAAAACCCAACATTTCTATTAAAATGTTAGGATTTACATTGAAACAGCAAGAATAGTCGAGACTCTGGCCGAAAACTTAAGTTTTCTTAAGCATCGCCTAAGGTGTAGTCCTCTCCGCACAATGCCGCATCGACACGACGCGAGCCCCCTCGAGCGTACGCTGACACGGATCAAGGATCCGTGGGTCTGGCGCGTGGGCGCCAGACCCATGGCCAGCCAGGAAAGGTACTCTTAGGTCGGGCATGTCCTCCTGCAGGGGGATTTGGGGCGAACGGCAAAACATATCCACAACATACTGAAACTAGAACCATCGCGCGCGCTTCGCGCGCGCTCAAGTTCTAGCTAGGCTTGATGGGCGAACACATGGAATATCATCCTTGTCGCTTCTTGCGTCCAGGGACTCTTTTGGAGGTCCTGCGCGAGCCTCGGAATCGTATAGAAGGGGAACTGCCGCAACGAGAAAATGATAAGTTGCAGCCGGGTATTCAACGACTTGGGGCCCTCGAAGGCTTCCTGGGTTCTTGTCTGGGGCCTTAATTGTGGTCTGTTGTGCAAGAATCGACAGGTGGGCGAACTTGGGAAACAACGGAATGGTGGGATTTCCCTTTTGTTTCAAGTTGTAGTGCCTGGGCTGTGGGTTAGACGTTTTCTGCATGCAGGCCACGGTCTGTTGGGATGCCCCTCGGGGTCTTCGTGCAAACTGGGACCCCTCTCGAAGTCGTCTTGGGGCTCTCTTGGGCCGTCTTGGGGCCGTCCTGAGCCACTCGTGCGCAGCCTTGGAGCGCTCCCGGAGGCCTCGTAGGCCGTCTTGGAGGCCTCTTGGGCCGTCTTGGACGCGGTGAAAGCCCAAGATGCGAACATGCGAAAAATATACGTTTTCCCATAGGAATGGCACGATTTTTGTTTCTTGGACCTCTCTTGGGGTGCCTCTCGGAACGTCTTGGGGTGCTTTTGGGAGCCTTTTGGCGCCTCTTGGCGGCATTTTGGCGCCTCCTGGAGCCTCTTGGGCCGGAAGCTCGGAATTCGAGGTTGGCTTTCTCCGTCTGGGACCCCTCTCGAACTCGTCTTGGGGCTCTCTTGGGCCGTCTTGGGGCCGTCCTGGGCCACTCGTGCGCAGCCTTGGAGCGCTCCCGGAGGCCTCGTAGACCGTCTTGGGCGCCTCTTGGGCCGTCTTGGACGCGGTGAAAGCCCAAGAGGCGAACATGCGAAAAATATACGTTTTCCCATAGGAATGGCACGATGTTTGCTTCTTGGGCCTCTCTTGGGCTGCCTCTCGGAGCGTCTTGGAGGCTTCTGGGACCTTCTTGGTGTCATGACAGGCGTCTTGGAAGGCATCTGGAGCCATCGGAGCGCGTTCCGAAGCCGCCTGCGAACGATCTTGGACGGCGTCCGGCGGTCCGACGAGCCTCCGGGCCCCCCGCGGGGCCCACATTTGCGGTCGGGGTCCCGGCCCCGGGCCCCCGGACCCGGTGCGCCGTTATATGAATAAAACAACAACAACAACAACAACAACAATCATTTTACCCGAACGCTCAGTGTTCTCCCCAGTGCCAGGGTTTTCTTGCGACACCAGCCAATACCCCCACTTCGTGGGGGGGCCGTTCAAGCTCTACCAAATATCCAAACGACTCTTCGAGACCACCCACACCCAGCTTCCCGCCCTATGACGTTGGGACACTTCACTTCGTGGCGTGCGGACGACCCTGGCTACTACACTGGCGTGGGGTACACACCCACAGAGGTTGATCACATCTGTTACATATGATGTGGTACACGGTACACGTGAGATGGTACGCAGTGCCAAGATAGTTGGTCACATTTTTGGGGCAAATTCGTGGGGATGCGATTACAGAAGTACATGTGTTACACTGATGTTATACAGTCCCAAGGATGACGCATGCATTGCTCATAGACTCATGGCGCTATGATCCTAACTCTCAGTGCCCAACGCGCGCGTGCACAGCCAGACGGAGGGAGAGAAACACATGTATACAAGGTTCGTGACATACGCACGGTCCACCATGTTGTAAACGATCGCATGCACGGTAAGTTCTGAAATTATACGTATGTACAAGCAGACATGCGAGGGAGAAAGGGAGATGGCCATCGACAGTTCCAATACGGCTCCAAGGCGGAAGAGGGGGAGGAGGAGCAGGACAAGGAGGAAAGGAGAGAAGCGAGAAAGGAAGAACGCAGACGGCGCGGCTCTGGACACAAAGGGGTGCCATACTTTCTCCTGCTTTCGCAAACAGGTCCAGTCACACGTAGGGGTATACTCAACCGAATGGTCTTCGCATCCAGAAGCATACTAAAGGCGCGACGCATCGTCGTCTGCGATGGCGCGGAGCGGGCGCGTGGGTGCCCGGCTGCCTGGCTGATACACGTGCGGGCCTGGCTGATACCCGTGCGGTCCCAGATGCCCAATGAGATTGCCGATACGCCTGCTGGCGGGAAGGCCGGTGCTTGCATACGGCAGTGCTACCGCGAGCACGTTGTGGACCTGCGGTGGCAAGGCCTGGTAATCGAGCATGTTCGGAAGCTCGTCGCTCTGACCATACGACCGCCATACGGGCAACCACCACCACTGGTCTTGACGCGGATACGTGATCTCTGTGCCGACCTCAGGGGATACGTTCCAAAGGGCCATTTTCTGCGGGTCCGTACCCATGAAGGCCGCGTGGTACGGCTTGAGAGCCTTTGGGGGGCTCCTTGGAACCATCTTGGGGCCTCTTGGGGGCTTATTGGACCCTCACGGCGGACTCTTGGGGCCTCTAGAACGCCTCCTGGGGCCATCTTGGGGGTCTCTTGGAGCCACCTTGGAGCCTCTCTGGAACCTCTTGGGGGCCTCTTGGAGTCCTCTTGAAGCCTCTTGGGACCATCTTGGGCGCCTCTTTGGGCCTCATGGACGCCTCTTGGGGCCATCTTGCGCGCCTGTTGGGGCCATCTTGGGTTTTAAAGATTCATCAAGAGACCGCGAATGGATTTCGAGATTTTTCGGATGAGAAAGTAGTGCGTTTTCATATGTTTTCTGAACATCGCATCTTGAAATTATTGAAAACCCATTGTGTTTGGCAGGATTTCGACATGCGCGCGCGGCGGCCGCGCGCATGTGCACTTCGTCTCATTTTTTGCAAGGGATGGTGGCCCTCGCAGGCGCGCAACCGTTGTTGGAGAAGTTCAAAGCACCTGAAGAAGTAGCACGCAAAGACCCTTTTGACAGAAATGTTTAAAAAGTGGTGTGTTTCCTATGAATCCGCAAGAGCGCGCGGAAGGACATTTTGACAATTTTTTCTTAAAAAACCATTGGGTTTTTGATGTTTTTATGTTAAAATCGCTACGAAACCTAAGGTTTTGGAAGGATTTCGTCTTGCGAGCGCGAATGTCCACTTTACCTTATTTTTTGCAAGGGATTCTTGAAATTTGATCAACTAAGAACAAGAATTTTCATTTTCTATTGTTTTTTGCAAGGGAAAACGAGCGTCAACAAAAAACCGGATCCGGGGGTAATCCACTTTTCTGAAGCTTTCGCAGAAAAATGATGAAAATGTAGCTGCGGCCTAGGTTTTGGGCGGGGGGCGTGCACCAGGGGGTCCAACAATAATAATTCTTTAGAAGTAATAGTGTTCAACAACAACAACAACAACAACAACAACAACAACAACAACAACAACAACACCAACAACAACAACAACAACAACAACAACAACAACAACAGCAACACTGAAAACGTCCCCTGACTATGTTTTGACTGTTTCTGCACACTCCTCCTGACTCCTCCTGTAGAGGGACAGGTCCGACTCCAAGCCACTCCCCGAAACACGAGGCCAGTGATGCCGCACGATGCGGCGACGGAGCGCGCCCCGATCTTGCACGGAAGCGGGACCCGTCGACGCTCCACGGCCTCGGTCCGCTGTGGCGCTTCCTCGGCTCTTGTAGGAGCTGAGACAGCGACAGCTCCCGAGGCCACGCTCACGGCGGTGCTGCCGAGCGGTGACGCTGGAAACCGAGCCGTAGGCAATCACGGACGCCTGCACATCCCATCCGCGGATGCATGGCACGAATCCGACGCAGCGAACTGCAGGAACGCGCGAGCCGCGCGCTCCAACAGCACCGAGACCTACATCGCCGTCAGCGTGCCTGCGGAACTCCTCCTCCTCCTCCTCCTCCTCCTCCTCCTGGTCCTCCTCCTCCTCCTCCTCCTCCTCCTCCTCCTCCTCCCCCTCCTCCCCCCCTGGACGCCTCATGGGGGCCAGACGAACACCCGCGCCTCCCGAGACGCGCCCGGCCGTGGCGACGAGGGGGGCGCCCTTCGCCCGCCGCTTCTCGGGGTTTGTCGCCCGACCATCGGTCGCCTGGCGCGGCCTGGTAGGAGGGCACCAACTGTACACCAACACCGATCCTGGCCAGGATCGCCCTGGGCCCAGGATCTGTGTATACACCCTGCGAGATGCTTAAGAAATCATGGGTTAAGAAATTCATAGTCTCAGAACTTGAATAAAAACCCAGATCTTCTGTCAAAATCTTAGGATTTACATTGAAACGTTAAGAATAATCGAGACTCTGGCCGAAAACTTAGGTTTTCTTAAGCGTCGCCTAAGGTGTACACCAACACCGATCCTGGCCAGGAT